GCTGCTGTTGAGAAGCTGCTGTTGGCCCAGTGGCCCAGCCAGGAGAAGCTGATTCTTGCTGAGCAGAACAGGAAAAAGCACAAAAACACCACTATTACAAGTAAGACTTGGATGGGTTTCACCAGGGGGTGCAAATCTCTGCCTAGTGCTAAAAGGAGCTGAAACCACTGAAAAAGAAACATTCCACCCACTTAAAAAGTAGTCAAAGGACTCTTTTTCCACTGTTTGCCACCTCATATTTAATGGCATTCAGCTGCAGGAGTGGAGAGGATGGTCAACACCTTGCAAGATGGGATGTACTGGGGTCTGGTCCCTTCTGACTGGGGGAATTGCTGCTTATCTGCAGCATGAGGCTAAATAAATACAGGCAGGAAAGATTGTTGTTGCTTGGCTGGAGCTCAACTAGCACACTGTAACCTTGAGATAAACATCCTCCCTTCCTCCTCTGTGCAGAAAACACACTGGATATTCTCTACTGCTTTGCAAACTGCTCAGGGTTTCACCTGGTCTTTGGACTCAATGCCTTGCTGAGGAAAGGGGGTTTGCAGTGGGACAGCTCAAATGCCCAGGCACTGCTGGACTACTGCTCCTCCCAGAGCTACAACATCTCCTGGGAGCTTGGGAACGGTAAGTGCAAAGGCTCCTTGTGGCAAGGCCAGCTCTCACCTGGGAAAGTACCAGCACAGGGGATGGGCTGGTGATTTTGTGTGTTCTCAGAGAATCATAGAATTTTCGGGGTTGGGATGGAGCTTAGAGATGATCCAGTCCCAACCCCTGCCCTGGGCAGGGACATCTCCCACCAGAGTAGGTTGCTCAAGGCCTCATGAATGAGCAAACTGAGATGATTTTACTGCTCCTACCAAGGTTTTGAGATGAGAACAATGCCCCATGAGGTGCAAGATGTCACCTATGGGGTCTGGCTGGGACAGAGAGCTATAGAGCTGCATGCTGCATCCCCTGGGCTTTTGGTTTCACACTTGTTGCCTTCAAACATCTCCCTCATACCATCCCAGATCAGCTGAAGCCTCAGGGCACGGGTGCTCCCCATGTGGAACGAGCTGCCTTATTTTGTACTCCAAATTACAGCAAGGTGTTGATGCACATGTGTCTTCCCTAGAGCCCAACAGCTTCAGGAAGAAATCTGGGATCCACGTCGATGGCTTCCAGCTGGGACAAGATTTTATTCACCTCCGCCAGCTCCTGGATAACTACACCCTGTACCAGCACGCAAAGCTCTACGGCCCCGATGTTGGGCAGCCCCGAAAACACACACAGAGACTGCTCAGAAGGTGGGTGAGGCACCAGCAGCACCCACAGGTGTGGACAGTGGTGGCTTTCCTGCCCCCAGATGCAGGAGGCATGAGGAGGCTTCTGGGTTTTAAGGCTTTACTGTTCCACATCAACAGTGAGGATGTACAAACAGACACACCCAGTCTATGTGGGAAGCATTTTCCTGCACTTTTGCTTGAATTACAAACATGGATTTTTTTTTCCTCCTTGCCTGAGGACAACTCAAAGCTAACCTGCATGTATGAGTTGAAAGCTTAACTACTCAGCCAGTTGGAACCGAGCTGCTGGCAGCACATCAGTGGTCAGCACTGGTTCTGATGCCATACTAACGAGGACTTTCCACCCTAGAAATCCCGTGTGTTTCACAGCCATTGATTCACCCTCCCTGCAGCCAGGCTGGCAGAGCCTGCTTAAAAACCATCACAAGGATGGTCCCAAGGCTGGCACTGCACTGCTGCCAGCTGGGGGAGAGGGGAGGGCTCTGTGTGTGGATTGCTCGTGGTGGGGCTGTAATCCATCAGTGGTTCCTGCTCACCTCCTGCTCTCCATCCCCTCTGCTTGCAGCTTCCTGAAGTCAGGAGGGAAGGTGATCGACTCTGTCACGTGGCACCAGTAAGTACTGGTAGTAGTATTGTCACTCTGGTTATTGCCTGTTTGCTGTACAAAACATCTGTTTGAACATGCCAGCAGAAGGAGGGAGGTGAAGTACCCTTTTGGCAGTTCCTTGAGGGCTTCTCCACAAACTTCTCTGTTCAGAGGAAGAGATCATAGAATCATGGAACTTTAGGGGTTGGAATGGACCTTAGAGATCACCCAGCCCCAACCCCTGCCCTGGGCAGGGACACCTCCCACCAGAGCAGGTTGCTCAAGGCTCAGCCAACCTGGCTGTGAACACTGCCAGGCTTGGGGCAGCCACAGCCTCCCTGGGCAACCTGGGACAGTGTCTCACCACCCCCACAGCAAAAACTTCTTCCCAATATCTAACCTAAATTTCCCTCTTTAAATTTGTGCCCATTGCCCCTTGTCCTGTCCCTGCAGCTCCTAACACAGATCCCTCTGCAGCTTCCCTAGAGCCCCTTCAGCTCCTGGAAGGTGCTCTGAAGTCTCCACACAACCTTCTCTTCTACAGAGAAATTGATGGAGCTCCTTACAGAAATGCAGAAGCCTCCAAAGGAGGTCACTTGGTGCAGAGACCCAGAAGCAGTACTGGAGGATTTTCATGTAGGCAAGCAAGTAATTTTGCTTGCTAAATATGTGTACTGAGAAAAACAGAAGTGGGATGTGGAGAAAAAAAGATGGCACAGCAGCTTTTTGTCTTACCAGAATATGAGGGTATAGGTCATAGCTCTTTCCTGCATGAGAAGAGTTTCTGCAGCAGTTGACCCATTTTTGCACATGCATTTCAACACATACTTCACTCTTGGCTTAAAGGAGGTTTAATGCAGACTTAAGTGCTCAGGGCATGGGGTAGGTTCCCCCAGGACACCTGCCATGAACTCCACATTTGAGAGTTGTTTCCATGTGAAGGCAGCTTTTTTTTCCAGAGTCAAATGCAGCACAGTGACATGCAGCACTCAGGGGACAGAAATGGAAAACATGCACATACTTATATATATGTATATGTGTCTGTGTGTGTGTATGTAGTTAGATCTCTGTATTTTTAGCTGCTAGAAAGGCATGAAACTTGTCCTCTCCCCTTCCTGGGCTGTTCTTGCCCTGTGGCTGCCTTTGCTTTAAATGGGCATACATTCTTTTCTTTCCTAATTTAGGATTATCAGGTTTTAGCTTCCTCTTGTGGCTGGAAGACTTCAGCTACTTCTGGTAGGACTGAGGGATGGCAGGATGAAATGAAAAACCCACAGGGATCCCAAGTTTCTGTTCTTTATTTGGCTAAACCAGGCTTAAAACTCTTCTGTTCATGATGGAGAGCAACTTTCATCCCATAGGGATGTCTCCATCCCATTCCCCTCCAAGTGGCCAAAATACTCCAACAGAGGGACAAAATTGGGATCTGATATATTTCATGTGTGACTTGGTACAGTAAAACAACACATAGAAGTGTCAGACTCCTCAGCAAGAGAAGGTTTACAGGTGTTGGCTCTTAGTGATGCTTTCTTTACTCTAAAGCAGTAGATGCAGACAAACCTGCTGCTTCTGGTGATGGAAATTTCTGTGAGATTCTGCCTCCAGTGAGCTAATTATATCTGAGAGCCCCTTAAATCCACAGGACATACCTACACATCTGGAAAACAAAGAGCACTGGACAGAAAACCAGTTCTGTGGGTAAATGTATCAAGCAACTGAATCCTTTCAGTGGTGTTTTGTACCCTTCATTTTGGCTATGGTTTTTTCCCCTTCATTTCCAGTTACTATGTGAATGGAAGGAGTGCAACCAGGAGGGATTTCTTGAGCCCTGAAGTGCTGGATACCTTTGCCACAGCCATCCATGAAGTCCTGGAGGTATCTTGTCCTGTTCGATCCTTTCCATGCTCAGTTTCAATGGGAGTTAACAGAGAATCCAGAATAATTCAGTTTCTTACCAGCAGTAAAGAGTGATCCTCAATGTTTGGGTCTAATTTCAATTGTAAAGTAAAAAAATCCACCTTTAAATTAACAATACTATTACTAAATGAGCCCCAACAGTTTGCCATGCAGCAAGGATGGAGCCAGATACATCACACCCCCACAACATCCTCATGGATTGATGCAGTCATTACTCAGGGATGTCATTTCTAGTCATCTCTTCCCCCTGCCCCATTTGTTCTGTACTTTGAGATCCTGAGAACAGGTATAACTCAGAGTACAGCACTACTCAGCACAAGAAGACTTACAGGACATGGATTTTAGTGGTGTTTGCCTTGTTTTACCTAGGTAGACAAGTTGGGTTTTGGTTTTTTTTGGAGGGTGGGATGTAAATCTACTTTTAGCCCTTTGGATCAAAATTTCTGTGAATCCCATCTCAGCTGGTGTTATCCCTCAAATGCAAACACTGTATATCCCTCAAATGCAAACACTGTAGGTAAACCTTTGGCTAAAGCACAAAATGTCACTTATTCCAGTAGCCAAAAAACTTATCAGCCACAAGTCTAGTACCGGGGGGATCAAAGAGGATCTTCTAGTTAGTTCTTCCTTCCCC